ATTATATTTATTACTCACAAATTTAAAAGTCTAGCTTTTCTAACGTTAGTAGCTACAAATTTACAACCAAGTTGAATCGCATTTAACAGGGTGGTCAAATCTCCACTTGCATCTTTATATTTACGTTGTTCATCAAGAACATGTCTTGTCAATGTGATAATATCAGTTGTAACCTTGACTTCAGACATTATTATTAATATTATTGCTAATTAATTAGTATTTGACTTTTTTGAAAAAAAATCTTAAAATGAACCTAAACATATTTATATTAATGCGGAATAATTCGGAACACCAAAAAGATTTTTGTTGCAAACACATGCATGCATGTTGATTATTGACTGATTAACATAAAAAAAAGGAGCAAATCAAAGATCATAAAAGTGTGGGAAAAAATCGAAAAAGAAAATTAGCATATTAAACATTAATATAGGATAATGAAAGACAATGATTGAAAAGGTTAATAATAATAATATTTTTCTTTTCGTAAGAATGAGAACTTTATGTACATAATTATATAATTATAAATTTTTATTTTTTTCAACCACCAATAAATAAATTCTAAATAACATGCTTAATTATTGTTTTTAACAAGTAAGATTTGTTATGCTAAATCGGAACCACCTAAGGTTATGGGCGAAACCTCCTTAGTAATTGCTGAAACCACAGCAAAACTATATTAAATCTTATCAAAAATCCTGTTGAAACCATGCCGAAATGGCGAAACCTCAAAATGCGAAACTCTGCCGAAACTCTAATAAACAATTAGCGGAAACCCCGCTGATTGATTTCTGGATGAGTTTCGGCAAGCAACCTTAAGCAGGTCTATCTCCAAAGTTTTCTCCACTTCTCATTTGACCAATGATGGCTTTCTTTTCACTTTGATGCTTCCCAGTGCTTTTCATTTTCAGATTGTAGTAATTGTTAACAATTTCTTCAATGACTTTTTCTTGGTTATTGGGTATAACCTAAGTACACAACATAATAATGTTATATACTTAGGTTATACACACTTGGTCTAGGTTATGTGATTAGGTTATAACCACTTAGAATTACGATTGGTTTGCATTTGCGTTGTACTTTTTGTAGGTTATGGCATGGGTTGTGCCGTCGAACCAGCCCTTTTGGGTTATGGCTGATTTGAGTTTGATTCGTATTTTTAAGCTCTTGTCTGGATTTTTTATTTTTTTTCCATAAATTTAAACCACTGCGTTGACTTCGATTCCTGCTTTGGGTCCCGATTTGAATTACAATTGGTTAATGAATTCATCGTCATATTTGAGCCCCGCTTTGGACTATGATTGGTTTATGAATTCGTCGTCATTTTTGGGACCATTATAGTGGAGCATTAGTGACGACACGAAAATGTTGACGAAAAAAGTATGCTTTTTAGTGATCATTATTGACGTCCATAACGATGGACTTTTAGTGATGCTGTTGACTTCAATACACAAAGTGCTGAATTGTTATCTCACTTGCTGGCTTATCAAAGCATAATTTCCGATTTGAATTTTTCTACATTTATTGCAAAAGACGACAAAAAAATTCCTTCTATTGATAATGTAAATTGGAACTATGAATACAAGATTGACTTACTTCTATAGATAACACAATTCAATTATTTGGGAAAAAGACATATAACTTCAATCCATTCAGAAAAGGAGGACAATAATCAACTATTGGATTCTCATCAAGAATTTCCTTGCTGATTTGAATACATTTAGATTGAAATTTTTGTCTTTTTGGGTCCGTTCTTTTTACATACTTCCACAATCTTTCTTCATGCTCCAGAAATCTTTCTTTATTCCTCCGATAACTTTCATCATACTCTCTATCATCATTTTCTAACTCTTTAAACCTAGCATTATTATCAATGGATGCTTTAATGATATCCATGAGTGCTTCTTTAACATCTATGTTTGCTATAGGAATAACAATGAGTGCATCAAAAATATCATTGAGGCAATCATTTCCCTTTTTTAAAGGACTCGATACTCACTGGAGTCAATTGTAGAAACATTATTATATTTTTCTTTCTGGCGATTAATTAGTTAATGCCTTCTTTATAAATGTTTAATATTATGATTATCATCAGCATAAATTCAATTTTAACCTAAGATACGCCTTTATTCTAAGATAAATAGAAAAAATTATTTGTTCATAGGATTGTATTCTTTAACTCCTCTCGTTAAAACACGTTATCTTTTTTTTGCTACCAAGTATAGCATGAAATGATATAAAAACGGAAGGAATTCCGTCCAGATAAAAAATTATGCCAAACTGGACAGATTGATATAGGAGAAAGTGTTCTATTTTGTTTTCAACTTGTTATTCTATATTCATCTAGGTTGTCTAGGTTAAAATATAGTATCCAAGGAAAAAAAAAATCGAAACTTTTTCCTGGCTAGTATGTAATTCTGAAAAAAAACCAATGATTCTTGATAACTTTAATGGCATTTACCCATAGCAGATCGACAATCAACTCCAGAGAGATTCTGAAATACGTATAAAAACAGCTCGAATTCGCATAATTTTTCTACTTCATAACTATAACATTCGAATAAATACAATAAAAATTTGTTAAATTAATCAAACCCACGTTAATAAATAAAACGTAGTAAATCAATTAAACGTCGTAAATTAATCAAAAAAACACACATTAATAAATAAATCAATAAAACATAGTAAATTAGTTAAAAAACACGTTAATAAATAAATCATATTAAATATCATTCTTACATTCATCAAATCAAAGGTATGTAGGATGCTTGTTCCCACGTATTATAAAAAAACCATCGTACTAATTGATACCATTTTTAGATGACGTCAACTGAATTTCTCGAAACCCTCGCAAAAATGCCATTAGAGAATAATTCCTATCTTGATCCTCACCGTAACACTTATATTTGGAAAAAAATTCTTCATATACCTATTCATTACCGTTGCATGCTTTGTTTTCTACATATTTAAACAACGGATTGATATGGATCTTGATTTATTGAAGGAGAAACAAAAAAACATTCTAAAAAAATTGATAATATATCTGAAGAAATTGATAAAAAATTGATGAGCTTTATAATAAAATTGAAGAGTTTCTTAATAAAATAGACGAACTTTCCGAAAAAATTTCTTTGTTCAGTGAAGAGATCCAACAAAGATTCCAGGAAGAAAATACCCCAACTAATTATCCAAGAAATCTTTCAAGCAATAATAGTTCAAGCAGTTCTCGAGGTAAGATTATTTCAATGTATAAATATCTGTTGTCTTTGGTGAGATGCCCATAGTAAATCAAATATTTTTGTATCATTTCAGCTTCAAGATGAACTTCAGATCAACTCGTGCAAAATTTCAAGAAGCTTTTCGACGAGACTATGCGAGAAAAATATTACTCCAAGGCTGATATGATTACTGAAGTTGTGAGCAATCTTAGAAAGGAGAAAAAAATAAAGGTTATCTCGAACAAAGCAGTAGAAAATTATTATAACCATATGACAAAATCTGACGCCAGGGTTGTAGGGGCAATCAAATCTTGGATCGAATTCAAAGAAAAAAAATAAATCTGTACTTAACAATAATAACAATGATAATTATAATGTCGATGAAGAAATAGATACTAACTTGGTGATATTATTTTATTATTTTTAATTTTTTTAGATAGGTTTTGAAACAAGAAAACTTAATTAATTGAAACATCATTTTAACATTTAGGCAACATATTCTTTTCCATGCTAACTTGCATATTCAATGGTTGATTTGTTAAGATAATGGTTTTGTATATTTTTTATTATCATTTTATCATTTTATTACTTTAACTTTTAGATAAATTTTCAAAAACAAACATTAAAGAAAAAATTCAATTAATTGAAACATCATTTTAACATTTAGGCGAACATATTTTTTTCCATGTTAACTTGCATATTCAATGGTTGGTTCTGCCAAAATAATAGTTATTCAGTCTACAGTTAAGTGATTAATTATTGTTATGTGATCATCAAAAAAATCAACATCAATATCCCCCCTTTTCAACTAATGGGTAATAATACTATCACAAATAATTCCATCATACCTTGTACTTTTTCACATGAAGAAAAATATATATTGATCATGAATGTTATCATGAAAATAAATTCTTTTATTTTTTAGAAAAATTTCAAACCAGTCAAAAAATTAAATTTGTGTGATGATTTGAAAGATTGATAAAATTTGGCCAATGAAACCGTTTGTATATACTAAAAACACTTTCAAAAAAAAAAAAAAAATGCATCAATACTTTGATCACAAGCTGTCAAAATGGAATATTGAAGATGTTTTAAAAGAAAACAACAAGAGCGAAGTTAAGTCTTTATGTTAAGTGCCTAGAGAAAATCGTTAATACTGAGGAAAGGCCCAAAGCGTGAGAAAGCACTGGAACTGCTTTATAAATATAGGAAATATTGGACTTTTTCATTGTTGTTATAAATATATAAAAATTGGTGGCGTGCTGAAGACCTTCTAAGCTCTTCGTCATTCAAGCCTTCTAAGCCAAGCCATGAAGCTAGTATTGGGGCACAGGTGACCTTCTAAGCCGACCTGGTGGGATAGAAAATAGATGAAACTAGGGATATGCTAATTAAGAATATTACTAATTCTCCAAGTTTTCATGCTATGTGATCACAAACTTGCTAGGGATTGGGTGTTGAATTGCGAATCTGAAAAATCACCTTCAATTAGTATTCAAAATACATTTACAGGAGGTACTCTAACAATTGGAACTGTTAATGACAGAACATTCATTAGCTAGAAACCTGAAATCAATAGAACACTATTTTGTATTTTAATGTGTTAGGATAATGAAGTTTCAACCAGGCAGATTAAAAGTAAACTACACAATATGGAAAGTGGGGAAATGACTCCTGATTACTGTGAACTTCTGACAAAGTGGAAAATGAAATTAAATTGGATCTCAAAAAGACATTTGATAAAGAATATATAAAATGAAAGACAATCTGAGGTGGAAGCTCAAATCCACAGGCAGAGTTGTGGATATACATGCAGCCCAAATTGGTTTGGTGATTTTAATGGTCAAAATTATTCCAATTTTGATGGTAGAAAGTAGAAATTAATTACAGCATTCACTATTAAAAACATAAGTGTAACACCCCTTTACTACACGTGTAACCCCCTTTATGACAGTGTCAAAATACTTTGGGCTGCATGTATAGTTGTGGAGGACACTTTATATGAATGCGTTCCTGATTTAACAAAGCAGTAAGTTTATTGGGTTAATATTTTTAGAATTTCCTCATGGATCTTATGAATCTAATAGCTAACTTGTTTAATATGCAATAGCTTAATTCATTCATTTACTATAAATATAGATGACCCAATAATCAAAGGAATCTTTTTTCCTCAGGAATTAAGGAAACAAATGTTAAAGAAGATCCAGACTTAAGCTCCAAACTTTATGGAAATCTAGCACATTTTTGTAATAAGGTTGGTTTAAAAACATTGTTGAAAGTTGTTGTCATCTAATTGTTAACATATTTTATAGAATAACATCAAAGAAATAAGAAAAATCATGAAATAAATTGATCACGAAGGATACAACTTTGAAGTGGATACCCTTAAGTATTCAGTTCACAGCCTGTAAGTATAGTACTAAAGTTATATCAACATATGAATGATTATTCAGTGCAAGATGATTTCATTTGCTTCATTTGCAGGGTATGACAATATGAATGCACTCCAAATGCTTTCTCTTTGGATCATTACAAAGCTTGGTACAACATTAATGTCTGGGGTCCCATTATCAATAGAACCTTTGATAATATACTAAACGTTGATATTACTTGGTAAGTAATAATGGTGAAAGATTCTAGAATCACATGAATGTTCTGTTAATTGCAACCTCTATTAGGGGTGAATCATCAAGCCTTGCAAGCTCCGATCAAAAAAACAGAAACTGTACTATGGATACCCAAAAAAAAATGGGTAGAAAAGGCGATGCAATAATTAGAAAGTTGTCAGGGGGATAAAACTTGAATTTGGAGGTTCCGAGGCTGGAAAGCACTACAAATGACAAGGTGCAACCAAGTGGCTTTATGAGTCGAGATTAAAGCTTCCAAAGATGATGTGTGATATGTTTATTAGCTTATGTAAGAATACAGATTGGAATCTAGAAAAAAATGGAAAAAATGGAAACAGTGGGTTATATTCATGCCAGTATAATATCATTATTTTATTATTACCTCTTGCACTTGTAATATAGATTATTCAGAATCATTTGTGGATGTGATTGTTTAAATTTTATATATTTTGCAGGTCTAGTTTTAATGATTATGATGCTGGATCTCCCAGCTGGTTATGTAACTCATATTAACAAAAGCGAACTCTATCACATACCAGAAGATATTGAGTCCTTTAGTGGTGCAATAGAATTTATTACAACAGTTTGGAAGATTAGGCAAATTTTTCCTTGATTCACATGTCTGGATAAATCAATTGTTACAAATAACAAGAATGCAAAAATCCTTGTTTACAATATTTCACAAGTTACATACTGAAAAATCAATATTCAGTTTTGACATTGCAGGAATTAGAATTTATTATTACGCTGGAAATGTAAAGATAAAAGTTTGTGGAATAATAATAATTTTTAGATGCATAGTATTTAATTGAGAATTTATTTCAAAATAATTGTCTGTAAAATTTCAATAATTAATATTAATATTGATATATAAAACTAAAAAAACATGTAACTATTTTTTCTTGTTGATTATTAATGAAGTCTTCCTCTTCAGAAATTTACAAATGTTAAAATGGCTTAATATTTTGACATCTTTGTAGATACACTGTAACTATCACTATGTATGTTCCGCAGCTTACGTTTTTTACCATTTTTTAGTTGTGATAACACATCCAAATGTTCTTTATCAAAAACCAATTCACAGTTCGTTGAATCAATAACAGCTACATAGTCATCATCTTTATCAGTATTCAAATCATCATTACAAATCTCGATTTCATTCTCTTCTTCTTCTTCTTCTAGTCTGATAACTGCAGGGCATGCAATAATTACTCTAAAAGTCCCAGCATACAATTCTGTAATTACTTTTTTTTTATTTTCATGTAATGTATTGTAGCCCTTGAGGATCATTTAATCAAATAAATTATGAGTGTTGGCTAGAGAATGTGCTAGTATATCTAGATTATTTAAAACAAAAAACATTAAATTAACATTCCATTTTTGTTGGTATAAAACCTTTTATAATCTGTTGTTGATAAAACTTTTTCTTTATCAATTTTTTGCCATAATTTTGCTTGACTAAAAACAGCATATCTTAACATGATAATAAATTTCTGCATTTAGTATAAATGTGTACCCAATAATAATAATAATAATCAATTGTACCATAATAATAAAATAAGTATACATTTTTTTCTCAAGTTCTGGTGATTCAACTCGTGTGACTATATCAGGTCCAGCATTTGTTTCTGCAAGAAAAAATGGTGAAATAGGCTGTTTCAAGAAGTCAGGGAGCTTATAATCAGATGTTGAATGTTGAACTCGGACATTGGAAGAAGTCTTATGAGAAAATGAATTTGCAATGTGCCAAATATTTGATGGTAGTCTCTTCTTAAAAATTTGACAAGTTTCCTTACCATCAAATAATTTTTCCAATGCATCTGGAATAAGCTGTTCCCACAGGAATCCTATATACTACGATTGTAGTCTAAATCTACCATTTTATTCAAGATATATTCTGAAAAATTGCAATATTTTTTGAAAAAGGATAATGCTGATGCAACTATCAATGGTTCATTGACAACACCCCGTAATTTATCTGTTCTTCTTAACCTTGCAACTCCAATCTCAAATAATTGCAATGCATCATCTCGAATAAAAGTTGCTTCTAGACCAGTGTACCAATGTTTTAAAACAACTCGTTCAACTAAGTCCATTATATCTAAACCACCAATTTCTCTGGCTCTATTACCATTTTTCATATTCAAAAGATCATATCCAATATTCCCCCATGTTGTTGCATCCTCATATCTTTCTTTAAAACTTGTAAACAGTGTTTTTAAATCACCACCATAAATCATCCATTCTTCTGCAAAATTTGAAGCAATTCTTGCTCTCCCTACTAGCCACTGCATAATACCATCATGAGAGGGATCAATTGGTATCCCAAAACTTGAGAGATAAACTTCAACATCTTTTTTAGAATCAAATCCATTGTCAATAATAAGTTGATCATCCATAATGCCACCTTTGAATAGATGAGATCCAGTAAATGTTTTTGCTGTTCTCATGCTGAGACCAGTCCCTGCAGGTAAGATACAGAGTCTAGGTATCATAGAGTATGTTCTTGTTATAACTGTATACAATGATTTTCCAGTTAAATCATCAATATTATAGGAAGTAACACATTTCCAATTGAAGAAATAAGTTGGACAGCTTCATCAATTATTACTGGCAATCGGACCTTCAAAGATAAAAAATTTGTTAGGCTATTAACTGCAAAGATTGTATTGGATGCAATATAAAATAAAGAATAATTACCTGGTCTAGATGTTTCAGTAAACCATTGATCAGTTTATGCAAGTTCTTGTCCAAGTCACTTTCAGAGAGTGCACGAAACATGATATTTAGTTCATTGAATAGGTCAATTTCTTTAAAATAATACTCGGGAAATAACTGCAAGATTGTCCAATTATATGAACTTATATGCCCAATTTCGGAAAAAATAAAATGAAGCAAATAAACTCGTGCCATCAACAAACATTTGCTATATCTTGTTGCATAGGTTGTGTTGTCAACTGATGGTTTATCTTTCACTCTTGATTGCAGATTCTCAATCATATATGTCATGTCTATTGATCAGGATTATATCGATTTGCCACAGTTGCAACATAATAAAATCCATATGTTTTACATAAAAATTCAATCAAAGTCCTTGTTTTTCCTGAACCAGAGGTTCCTAGAATTATAGAAATAGGTTCTGTTGAATGCAAAATTTCCTCAAGGTGATGAGTATCTGTTATTCCAGCATTTTGAGAATCATCAACAGGTAGATTGTACAACAAGAGAAAAGGTCTCTCAGAAGAGCGATATATTCTTGTGGAAGGTATTTTAAGCTGTAAAGTTTTGCTGGTGAAAGAATGATTAGTAGCTGGCTTGTAAAGTGGAAGTTCAAGGCACTTACTGCAATATTCATGGAAGAGATCAATATATTGTTCAAGTACATTTCCAACTTCATTACAAACGTCAGAGTAAGTTTTAGCGGTTATAGACCATGCTGAGGTACTTTTTCTCAAGCCTATACATAAATAAACGAAATGGAATGAATGGAAAAATAATTTTTTGTATATTTTTTTTTATGCAATTTGTTCATTACCAATTCCTCCACATAATGCCTCCTGGTACAGCACCTCCCAACTCTTCTTTGACTCTACCAACTCGTTTCTTTTTTTTTTCCAATTTGTCTCTCAAATCTTCCCTCCTCTTCTTTTCTTCTTCACTCCATTTCCACTCCATTAATCCCACTTCTAATCCATCTAGCCTCTCTTCCCATTTTTCTTTCCACTTCTTCAACTCATCCTTTGCATCTTTTAATTGTTCTTCGATTTTTACGATATTTTCCATTTTGAAAAAAAAAAAAAGAATTAAACGAATTATTTTTATTTAATTCAACTGATAATAGAAAAATACATAAATAATTTATAAATACAAGTTAAAGAATTGTCAGAGCACTTGCATGGGAGGAAAATATTTGGACCCAAAGCCATTTGTATTCTTTGGGCACTCTGACAAAAATTTAACTTTCATTATTACTATTGCTATTTTTTATCGATAATATTATTATTACTAATATTTATTATCTTTTTCATCTTCACTCTCTGTCTCTTTTTCTTTTTTTTTCTCTGGATTGCTTCTAATGTTTTCCTTCTAGGATTGGTTTTGCGTTGGTAAAAGTTTTTTATTATAGAAGTAACAATTCCTTTCTCTTCAAATAATTTACAAATTTCAATGGCCATTTCACTGAATGGAAATTCGGGATTCAATCCAATCTTTTATCAAATAATGGCTTAAAATCCTTCCATATATTTTTAATTTCCTGTGAATATCACCAGTAAGTTTGATATGTTGATTATCCGAGTGTTTGAGTATTTGACCAATCAATAATAACAAAGCTCAACACTTGGATAATCGGTCAGTCAATAAATTCAACGCCCGGATAATCGGTCATTCACGAATATCCGCCGAATCCACTGAAATATTCATTGATTTAAATTTAATTACAATTGTTTATTAACCAGGAAAAATATTTTTCAATACATTGCATATATTTTTTTAAGAAATATAATCCTTTCAAATAACAATTTGATTTTGTTCGTTTGGTTGTCATCGTGTTTCCAGCTTCACTCAATTGTAGAAGTTGCTGCAATGCATAAATATTTTTTAGCTAATAATGACATAGTTGGATATTCATATTGCTTAATATATCATAATAAAAAGAATGTTGGCGATAGTGTAATAATAGTGGATAAAAATAATATTAAAAAAATTTCATTTACGCGAGTTAATATTCTGTACCACAGAAATATCCGGTGAAAATTTTCAACACCCGATGAATAATCGGTGAATATCATTCAGACGGTTGCATTCGGATCAAAAGCAAGATATAAAACTATGAAATACGATATGATCCACCGCTTTGTCTCTCCATCATGCAACATGGTTGGCTTTGTGTCCTATCCAAAGACAATATACACTGAAGAGAGAGAAGAAAGAATTGATGAAGAGGTCGGAATTGACGAGATTAGGGCGATAGAAAAGATGCACCCAGGGAACCGTTAATTCACTTGGATCCTAATCTTTTAACAAATTCACTTTTAAAAATTAGAAGCATGTTTGATGCTTCGTTCATATAGGATTATAAAAATAATATTAAAAAAAACATAGATGATATATGTTTTGTTATAGATAATACAAATAAAAAAATTTAACTTTTTTTATTGCAAAAATTACCTGAAGGCCCTATTCTATAAGAATTCATAAATCTTCTTACATTTATCTTCTAATTTCATTAATGGTAACAGCTTCTAAGGTGTTGTTTATTGTAAAGGTCCCAAATAACAATATGGTATTATTGGATAAAAAAAAATTGTTTGCATCCAGCATCTTCAACTATTTCTTACAGAAGAGGTCTTTTGATATCATAAAACCTAGTTCTAGTGTGATAGAATGTTATATGCACTACAAACACTGAAGGCACCCAACAACATTGTTCAAATATTTTGAATTTCCATGGCAGTCTCTTCCACACGACACACTCAACTATCCAAGATTTCTTCTAACTCTGGGAAAATGGGTGATTCTATATTTAATTGTTGGATGTTACATAGGAAGTATAATAAAGTTGTTTGCCAAAAATTATTAGTCAGTTGTAATAAAATTTACTTGTTACAAAGTACCAATATCTTCTAACAGATCACAGCAGCACTCAACCCTTCAATTTGTGTTGGTATCAAAACCTCTTGGCCTCTTCTTCAGGATCGGGAAGATTAAAAGATGGCTTCTCACTTTGTGACGGTCCAAACTTATTATTGCTTTGCCTCTAACCAGATCTTTATTTATTTTGATGAAAGTGGATAGATGTATAACCTGGTGTGGATATGGAGCCCTTCCAATGCCCATCTTTACTCTAATAATAGTACATGCAAACTTCAAGAATTCTTTCCCAGATAAATCTGCAAGACCGAATAATCTTTTAAATTATCAAAAAATCCAAGTTCAAAGTATCAGTCATGTTTTCGAATTCGTTTACATGAAGGTGTCGTACTTGACCTTTAGGCCTTAATGATTGTTAGGACTCCAAAAATGGTTTAACCTATCATCATCGTCATCATTATTAAAGTGTATGTGTGTGTTGTTGATCTATCACGGGTAGATTTTCTCTAGGCTTTTGAAACTTCAAACAATATAATTTTTTTCGTAATTTTCAAATAAATTTTTTTTTAACCATATTTAAAATTTTGGCGTTTTACCCTATTATTTGTTATTGTTATTATTATTTGCATTATAAACATTTAAAATTTCTATAATTGTAATAATCTCGAATAATTAAATAATTAAAATTAATTCGTTTTGTCATTTTATTACTATTGCTATTACTGGAAATTTATTTTGTCTTACATACAATTCAATTCATTTTTTTTGACATTATTATTATTTTATTATTTAATTCTTCTTGAATAGATTCTCTTTCAGAGGAGTATTTGAAAAATTCTTTTAAATAAACAAATAAATAAATAATTTAAACAAAATGACATTTGAAACAATAAACTTAACACAAGATACACAACAAATTCAACTTTATAAAAAACAACCAAGTAAAGCAGCCATCATACCATCAGAATTAGTGTTTCATATATTCAAATTTGTTACAACTACAACAGATTTAAAATCATGTATTTTAGTTTGTAAATCGTGGTGTAGGTGTGGAGTTGAACTTTTATGGCATAAACCAATCTTTACTGGAAATGCTTCTCTCATTAGACTGCTAGTAGCAATATCGCGAACAACTCAAACTTTTCCTTATCCACTTCTTATTCGTCGTCTTAATTTTTCTTATTTGGGAGAAAATCTTAGCGATCAGATCCTTGTTAGATTAAGTTCTTGTGAAAGATTAGAAAGGTTGACGCTTGGAGGGTGTAAAAAGTTGACCGATGAAAGTTTATTAAAATTAATAGATAAAACTGAAGGCTTGATAGCATTGGATATGTCAGATATTGAAAGTTTGACCGATGTTGTGATTGAATTGGTGGGCGAAAGATGTAGAAGATTGCAAGGTTTGAATGTAAGCATGTGCAAAAATATTACTGATAAAGGAGTTACAGCTGTTGCGTCAAGATGTAAAGGCTTAAGGAGGGTAAGCGATCATATTTAATGTTTGGATAAATTTTTGGAAGTTAACTAATTAAAATATTGGTGATATTAATTTTACTAAAATGTCTCACACTCTCTTATTAGATAAAATTAAGCGGTTGTGAGAACATTACCAACAGATCTGTTATTGATTTAGCTGAAAATTGTTCCAACTTGTTAGAATTAGATCTTACCAATTGTCACCATGTAACGGATGATGCAATCAAACCAGTTTTTGAAAATTGTAATCAACTAAGAGAACTTCGACTTGCTTATTGTGCATATTTGACTGAAGGACCTTTCATCAAATCAATGCCAGTATCATTTGATCAATTACGTATCCTCGATCTTACATCATGCGCAATGATCACTGATCAAGCAATAAAAAAAATAGTTCACAGTTCGCCAAAATTGCGAAATCTGGTTTTGGCCAAATGCACAAGCATTACAGACGAGGGAGTTAATCACATCACAAGATTGGGAAAACATTTGCACTATCTTCATTTAGGCCATTGTTCAAATATCACAAATGAATCAATAGTTCAATTGGCACGTAATTGTACCAGGTTAAGATATCTTGATCTTGCTTGTTGTATTCTTTTATCGGATAAATCAGTTTTTGAATTGTCACACCTTCCAAAACTTCGTCGTATTGGATTGGTGAAATGTGCATTGATCACTGATCGAGCCATTTATGCATTAATTGAAAACAGAGTAGTCACACACACTTTAGAACGTGTACATTTGTCATACTGTTCACGGCTTACAATTCCAGCAGTTTCAGAATTAGTTAATTCTTGTCATCATCTAACACATCTTTCTTTAACTGGCGTACCCGCTTTTCTAAGACAGGATGTGCAAACTTTTTGTAGACAGCCACCAAAAGAATTTACACTTCATCAACGACAAGTTTTTTGTGTTTTTAGTGGTAAGGGAGTCAAGGATTTAAGATCGTGTTTAAAAACCATAGTTTCAAGTCAACAGCAGCAACAACAAGGAGAAGCAGATGTACCAGATGGCACCAACAATACAAATGATCAAGACGATGGAGATACAAATATAGAAGCAAATAATAATAATAGTGGTGATAATGATGATAATGTTGGTTCCGACAATTCTGAAAGTGGCGAGAATGAGAATGAGAATGAAAATGAAAATGAAAATGAAAATGAAGTTACTAATGTTGAAATCAACAATGACGATAATCTTGATAATAATTTTAGTGAGGCTCTTGTATTGAGTGATGATTATGACAATATTATTATTAATAATCGTGGTGAAGTTGTTGATATTATTCTTAATGATCGTGGTGAAGTTGGCGGTGATGTTGATGTTTAGTGATTCATATCTTAAATATTTAAAAAATAAAATATATGTATGTATGTATATGTTTGAATTGTATGTGAAAAGAGTAAGTTGTTGTTGATTTTCTTTCAGGATTTTTTTTTTTTTCATAACCAAATATATAATATATACAATGAATCAAGATTTTTTCATTTATAATTTAGGATTTATTTTTTTTTTTAAGATTAATTGTAATTTAAGAGGTAGAAAAAAATTTGCAACAAAAATTTTTGATTATAATATATGTAAAATAATAATTAAAATACAAAATTTTTTTAAAAAAAGAATCAATTAGTTCAAAGTTTTGAATAGATTGGTTTGGTTTTTGTCATAAAACCATTAATAGAGTCAGTCACATCCTAATCATGATAATAAATTAAAAATTAAAATGTAGTAACTAAAAAATAATTTAGAAAAATTTTTTTTTCAAGTAATTATCAACTCACTTTAGTATCAAGCATTGAACCATTCCATACCGAGGTGTATTCAAGACCTTCAGCAACAGAATGATCACGTGAATAGTTTAAAAGATGTCTTGTATTATTATTAAAAATGTAATAAAAGTTTAATTAATTAAGAGCAAAGATGATAATAACTTTGATGACGAGGAAAATAAATACAATTTTCTTACTTTGTACTCATTACCGCAACTGGTGATTTTGACGCAATGGTTTTTGCAACGTTCATCGCTTCCTCTATTAATTAATCAATCAATTAATTACATAAAGATCAAAAAAATAATTTACTTGTTAGTATAGTATAGTAATAAAATAATATTGCATATTAGTAGTTATTAAATAATTAACACTTGCTCAATGTTTCCTCTTTTGTTGGAAATACTTTATTCACTAAACCAGCTGAAAGTGCTTCATCTGCAAACATACTTTTAAAAAAAAAGCAAATTCGGTTTTAATCATTAATTAACAAAGTTTTTTTAAAACAGAAACTAAAATCTTTAAAATTTACTTGCGACAAGTATAACATAATTCTCTGACTAGACTATCATTTGCAATAACTTTTGGAAGACGTTGTAATGTTCCTACATTTTAATTGTTGATTATTGATTATTATTGTTAAAAAATTGAATATATAACAATGTTTAAGTGTTCTATCTTTTCATAATTGTCTGACATTATAAACACAACTTACCAATATCTGCTGCCAAACCTAAATCAACCTCCTAAAAATTAATTGAAACATATAATGAATAATAATCAACTTGAATCAAATATAATCAAATAATTCAAAATTCATTATTATTATATCAAAAATAAAAATAAAAATAAAAATAAAATAAAAATACCTTGACATTGAAAAATGCATCTTGTGAACAATATCTAATATCACAAGCTGTGATCAAAGTAACACCTATTCCAATACATGCATTATGAATTGCTGCAATAACAGGCTTATAACAAGTTTCTATCGCAGTTATTGATTCTTGAAATAACTTTATATATATAATTATTTGGTTTGATTAAAAAAATTTTAAATGATTAAAAAAAAATTATTATTAAGTTTTTAATTTTTATAGAAACAAATTACCAATAGTGTATTACGTGTTGTAATTGCTTTTCTAGCAGCATCTGGTTTATCTATCGTTAAAGTTGATCCCAAGCTGTTAACTAATCATATACATATAAATATGATTATTATAATAAGATCTTAATTATTTAAAAAAGATAATAAATATATCTCCAATTATCCAGTTTTCTTTTACCATCAATTCCTGCAGTAAATAATTTTCCTGCTCCTGATATAACCACAGCTCTAACATCTGGATCCGTCTTTATAGTTGAAAAACATTTACCAATTTCAATCCAAGTACTAAAATTAATCATATAAAATTAATTATATTTCTTTCTTTTACAAAATAAATAAATAGATAAATTACAAACAGATTATTAATGGCATTAAGTTTAGAAGGTCGTGATAATTCCACATGAATAACATTCTCCAAAGGAAAATTTACTTTTAAAGTTTCAAATTTATATTGACTCATTTTTACCTTTCATTAAACAATAAATAAATAATGATAAAACCAACATCTGAAAATTTCCCAAATAGCAATTTTTTTGTTTCACAAAAATGACAGAAGTTTCAATTAATTAGTTTCAGATTTTTTTAAAAATCTACGGAATTCCCAAGGCATATTTGTTCAGTATTTATTTAGAACAAAATTTAACATTTTATTTAACAATTCAAAATGAATATATGCATCATATCATATATGTATACATATACATGTAAAGAATTTATTATTTTAGTACTCAATTAATTCTTTTTTTTGATACAAATCCCATATGGCCTGACATCTTCGCCACTCTTTGAAATCCAACAATCATTAGCACCGGTTGTACTTTTAATCTTTTCCAAGTTCTTTGGATTTACTCGATGCTGAATTATGATGATATATTTATTCCCCCCAAACTCAAATTCCGGTGCATACAATTCAGCTACATTCACACTTGGTGTGGTATAAATACCGTAACAAAAATCAAAACGTTTATCTTTGCTCAATAAGGATCCAGCATCAGCAATTGATTGCGCATTATGCTTGGCCGTGCCATGATATGATACCGGCCAGGCATTCGCTCCAGTACCAAGCCATTGGTCATTACCATTATCATACTTCCCAGAAACCTTTAAAGCATGGCGTTGCCATCCACATGGACGTTGATAAGGAACACCACCACGTATATGTACAGTTGCTCCATCATTAACATTTGTAAAATCATAATTATAACTTGGTTCCAAAAAATCAGAACTCAAGCAACTAATTACATTGCGATCTCCGTCACGAAGACGTAAAACAAGGTGCACCGTATCTTCATTTTTGATACCATAGTCAGAGAGCGTTTTAAATTCACCCAATTGCATACCATCGAAAATAAAACGTTGTTGGTCTTGTGGAATACCTTCTTTATCTTCAATTTTATTTTTCAATTCTAGAATGGTCGAAAGACTACTGATAGGTACTGGAATGTGTCTACCAGTAAGAGTTTTCACATTAATCGTCATGTCTTGATGTTTGGGTTCTAACTTCTGGTCTGAGTGAGTGCCCACATTACCACCGATAAGATTTACTTGATGAAATGAAGCCAAGTCAACCCGTTGATAAAGACCAGGATCACCTCGGGTTTGTTTTGTTTTAAATTCGCTTTCCGAAACAACATTTTGGCTAGTCATTAAAGCATTAAGTGCAGCATTAAGAAGATTGTTTGACATTGTTGAAGAATTGGCAGCTATTATTTTTAAATTGTATAGATTATTAATTAGGTTCCTAAGATGGAATGTTTATATGTTCTTTAAATAATAACGATATAATATAAATGTCCGTCCATTTTTGTCATATCCATTAGCAAAATATAACTAACACTTATTTGAATCTAACTTTATATATTTGTCAATATAATAATGGGTAGTAGTAGTACAAGTATAAATAAATAATGTGGGAGTTTTTTCAATCATAATCTATTTTTAGATTTTTGAAAAAAGATCTGCATCTCAAAACTTTTATAATAATGTGAATTGGGTATGGCTTTTTTAACCTATATGAAGAGTGCAGTTATAAACTGAAAAATTCATTTTTTGGGTGTTTGAAATGATCGACTTTGTACTTGTGATCATGTGATATAAACTAATTAAAACGTCGATCACACGTGACTGGAAAATAAAAACAAAAACTTGTGTATTAGTATTTAAATCACAAACTTTTCAAATATAAAAAAATTTAAACATTAATTAAATAAAAAGTCAGATCAAATGAGAGTATTTTTAAAACAACCATGAAAAACTATTTCGGCATTTCTAGAAGTTGTAATCAACTGAAATAGTCGATTAAACTTTTTTTTGAGTTGACTATCTTAGTTGACTAAATAGTCAACTATTTTAATCGATTATTTAGTCAACTATTTTAGTCAACTGTTTAGTTGACTACAAATTGGGTGTGTGGGACCTATAATTGTACTTATTGTACTCAATCTAATTCTACTTATGTTTGTACTATACTCACTTCACGAAATGTACTGTACTCAACTGCATATACCCTTTCGAGAATTCCCAAGAAACAATTTGCTGAATTAAGGGAATCCTTTCAAGCTCTTTACAAGTCTGAACAAGTCATATTTTTGATCGCACAGATTAAGGCAATGGATGGTGGATCAACAAGTGCCAGCAGGCACCTTAAAAAGAAACCTAGGTCTAATAAAGAACTTTCTACCATTAGGATCACAATACCCCTTTGTCAAGAAACTTATCTCAATATGTTGGGGATTAGGGAGCGAAATGTGTGATCAAAATTATCAAGGGAATGCCTGGTTTGGAAAAAATTTATCGGAAATCTTCAAAAAATATCAGACTAAAAAATTTTTCTTAAATAATATAAGTAGGGTTTCTATTCGAATTGTTTGTTTATTCGTTATTATTATTATTATTATTATGAATTTGAGTATTCGAATTACATTGAAAGTTTATTTGAGTAAAATGATTTGAATAAAATAATATATTCACATTGCTAATTAAAATATTTTCTCTTTTGTATACGGCGATAATAATAAATAATGGTAGCAGAAGTAATTGACATTTTTCTTTTCTTTTCTTAAGTCATAGTACTAGAAAACATAGTAGTAGTAATATAAATTATAAATATAATCATACTATCTTGTTAAAGGAAATAAGACCTTATTTATAATTTTACAATCCTTAACAACAGCAACAACAACAACAATATAGAATTTGTTGTATCAAGTTATGATTAATGTTTTAATATTTTGTGAAGCGAATAAATGAATAAAAATGAATAAACAAATAAAACGAATAATTCAATTAGTTTGAATAAACGAATACAACGAACAAAACGAACAAAACGAACAAAACGAACAAAACGAACAAAACGAACAAAACGAACAAAACGAACAAAACGAACAAAAACGAACAAAACGAACAAAACGAACAAAACGAACAAAACGAACAAAACGAACAAAACGAACAAAACGAATAAACGAATAACTTTAATAAAATGAATAATTCGAATAATAATAATGAATTCGTAATAATCCAAAAATACACGTGTAACCGGAAAATGGCCGATTCCCAAAAATTTTATTGTAATGCCCCAGAGTTTTAAAATAGTAATGGGATTTCGCACCTGAGTAGCTGTCTTTTTAAATCATCGATTCGAAAACGAATATATTTAATATAATAATAATAATAATTCTCAAGAGTTTCGAATATCCGAATAGAGGGCTACGAATAAGAACACTAATGTGTATTTTATTTTGTTTTTTAAAAAAATTATTAAATACAGATTTAAATTATTTAAATTATATATTTCTAATTTATAATGAATGAAAGTTAGCGCTTTAGTGTTATTAATTTTCATTAGGAAAATCATATGTTGCCGAATTTCCAACTATCCAAATTTCTTGTTCATCGTCATCTTCTGGGACAGTTATAATCCCTGCATTAATTTTGTCGACCCTATCATGTTCTTCTAATACTGCTTTTGTTAAAACTCGTTTATGATATTCAACAAGATGTTTGCTTGCTTGGGGTTCAAGTATTGATATCATATGCTATAATAAAATAATAATGAGGTGTTTAGTAAAAAATCTTCAAAATCTATATCAAATCAATATATATATATTTATTGTATGTCTCTATGGAATAAGACGTGCTATAATTTCCGTTATTGCATGCCTATGGAAATTATAACATGTTATACGTTCATTACAAAGTCCCGACATACGATAAACCAGTTATTGAATGCATCAATATCCAATAATTAAAAAATGACTAAAATTGTAGCATGATTTCCTTGATATTCAAAATAGTACAATTATACGACCCTATTTTAAACTCAGTAAACATGCTATAATTTCCACTATTGCACGTAATAACTATATTATACATACATGTAACATGCTATCACCATCTAAGAGTTGCAAAGTATATATCAATGCACGTTCTGCTGCCAATTTTACTGGGACATTTTTATCATGACCACAATTAACAATGAGTGGAATTACAGTAATAAGATGAGGTTCCAGTGGCTATTTTAATAATAAAATATTTTTAATATATAACAAATTTAATAAATAAATCAAAAATGAAACGATATTCACCTCTGGGTGTCTTCTGCCCATAATAGTAAGTGTGATTAAAGTTAATCGTTTGGTTTCTGAAAATGATGCTGTTGGCTCGCTAATGATATTAATCAATGTATTCATAAATTTCTCTGTAACTATTTCATCATGATATTTTTCCGAAAACATAATTTTGCCCATGGCCTTTACAGCAGCATTAGAAACGTTCAGCTAAAAAAAAACAGATTAGGAAAAAACCAAAATAAGCGTCATTGTTAAACATTATAAAATTAATTTACCTGATTAATTGTGGTTCCAGCTATTATAATGTCTGTAATCGCACCAACAACTTTTAAATCTATGAATGTCATTGGTGACTCAACTATTATTGCATTGATTGATGTGAGAGAGCTATACGTTGGTGGCTTAACACATAGAATATGTGTCCTTTATATAATTATAGTCATATTTAAAAATTAATATTGAATGGAAACTGGAGAATTAATTTTTACCGAGATATATATATATAAATGATTATGATTATCACGATATCGCTTACGTTACAACTGGCAATGCTTCTGAAGGTGTGAGATATTTACATAAACTTGCAAGAAGACGAGCTGCTCCAGTAACCACCCCATCTTTCAAATGAAATAAAAAATTATATATATACATATATCAGTAAAATTTGATCTTCATTCATTATTTGGCCAATAAATTAAAAAAAATCAAAATAAAACCTGATTTATCATTCAACCCATCTGCAATAACTTCAAGTACACCTTTTTTAGAAGCATCACTCATACCATTCCCCGCTTTACTCACAACATTTTCAAGTGCACTTAACATTGTTTCTTTTAAACTTGGGTCACTAGTTTTAGCCCCAGTAACCAACTCTGTCACTAAAGGATCTACACGTGTTTGTAGTGAAATCAGTATTCCTAAAGCTGAAGCTGCTCGTGAACGTACAACAACACTCGATGGATCAGTTAAAGATTTAATAAATGTGCGTTGTAATTGGGGAATGAAGGGTTTTAATTGTGCAGGTACTTTGTCAAGCAGTGAACTGTTTTAAAACATAAATGTTAGTACTCATTTTTTAAAAAGAAAAAATTATAACTTTCCTCCAAAATTATAATATTCTTCATGTACCTTAAAGTTTGTAGTATTGCAGCCTTCACTTGAGGAGGATAACGATCTCCAATTACACGGATTAGTGGTCCAGTAATTTGAGTAATAAAAGGTCTAAGAGCATTATTAGATGTCCTCTGAACAAGATCATCAATACTTAAAGCAGATTGTTCTCGAATTTCAGGAGTACCATACATTAATCCATGCAAAAAAATAGGAAGAATTGGACCAATGCCTTTTGGTAAACAAAAACCTGGCAAATCTACACCAGCAACTCCTACATTTTTTATGGCACGACGAACGGTTGTAACAAGTTGTTCTAGATCGTCTTTCTTTATATTTTTGGTTACAGAGTTCAAAGCATTCCAAGCAGATTTCACAACATCTTCTTGTCGATCATCAAGAAGCAATATCAACACTCTTATCCATTCAGGAATATATCGTGAAATGTCCATCTTATTTTCATTACAGAATAACGCAAGTACATCACATGAACAAGAACGTTTAACAGGATCGTCACTTTTTACTGATTCAAAAAGCATCATCATTAATGTTTGAAGTCCATCTGTTTCATCAATCGAAAGCAATAAGGCCCTTTCGGTTTCTTTCAACTCTGAAATAATCGCCTCATCAGTTTCCGTTCCTAATGATGTCATAAGTGCACTAAGAATATTAGTCAACCGTTTATTAAGTGCTGGACCAGCTACTTTCACCAAAGAGGCTAGAGCTCTAGCATTAAAAGCAGAGATAGGCACCGAAATAAGGTTTGGTATTAATACTGGAAAAACTACGTTAGCTCGAATTGCCATAATTTCTTTTAATGCTTCAAGTGCATATTCAGAATCTTCTCCGGACTTTAATGAATTTAATAAAGATGGTAATATCTCATCTATTGCCTTCTCTCCAGCATGTTGCAAAAGTGTGTCAAAAGCTTTCGACGACGATAATAATAATGATGTTTTCTTTAATATGGTTTATAAGAAAAATGTAATGAAAATAATATGTTCAAATATTCACCTTGTGCAGCAGCTTCACGAACATCACCAGATTTATCAATTAATGCTTTCTTTACTGCAGGAATGATTGAATCAACATAGTCTATTACTTGTATTTTACCAGCTGTAGCCATGATTTCACTTAAACCTATACATACACCCTGCCTCATGTCCGGATCATTTGATTCTAAACCATCTTTTAAAATTGGTATAATTTCCGATAAGACGCTTTCGCCAACTTTACGTACAAGTTCTCCTAATGTACGACCTGCTACTTGACGTCGTTCATAACTTGAACTTGCAAGGTTTCGAATGATTATTCCCATCATTACTGGAAGAATTTCCTTGACAGTACGTGGAGTATTAGGAACAATAGCTTTCCACACATGAATTGACGATTGACGAACAATGCCTGAAACTTGAAAATTATATTCATAATAAATAAAACAAATAAGCGCTTTCAATTTCAAACTCTTCATACACATAATTTAGGAATGTTCTGAGAAACTTACCATCTTGTCTTACAATATATAGTGCTGCTAACACTCGATCACGTCTTTCTTTTCCAAGAACTTGAAGTAATATTTTCTTATTCACTTCAGCCCCACCACTAATATCTTCTTCTTCACCTTCAAGATCAGATTTACCACTAATTCCAGTAATCCGGTATAACAAATCACCCATTAATTGCACAGAACTATGCCTTATCCTCCAATTGTTATCGAATAAACCTCTTTCCAACTCGGGAAGTAATAAATCTACAGCCTTTGTAGCATAGTTTACTACAATCATTTGACCAGCTTTAAGCGATGCATCTCGAACATATTCTGATTCATCTGCTAAGCCAGATAAAACTGATGGTATTATTCGACCAAGATAAGGTTGAAACCTTTGACCAAATGTTGCAGGAAGATAAATAAGTAATGAGATAAATCCTTCTCGAACGTAAGCTTTTACACTATTGGTGTTATTGATGATTTCTGGCAAAAGCCCATCAAGTCTTTCAAGTCCTAGACCAGACAATATTTCACTAAGGCCTTGCGCAGATCCTTGTCGGTCAACACCACTAGTATCAGATTTAAGGGTATGAAGTAATTCATTAACAATATCGGGAAATTTGTCTTCTCCAAGTTTTTCAACAAGTGTGCCTAATGCCTTTGCAGCCGTAGATCGAGCTTCAGGTACAGGATCTACCAAGACTTCTTTGAGTCCAGGTAATAGTTTTGGTAAATATGGAACAAGGTCTTTGACATCAGTTAAAGAAGCCATGTTACCAACTATTTGAGAAGATTTTTTTTTAATTTCCGTGCTTCGCTCTTTCAAGCCACGCTCAAGAATCGGCATAACCTAAAATAATTTATGTGAGCATAGTTAATATTATCAATAACCAACATAGACAAATATATATATACACAATGATAATTATATATTTTTATAATGTTTACCAATGCTAATGAAGGCGCATCGATATAATGGACAAATGCAGTTTCCAATAAAGCATCTAAAGCAGCACTAGTTTTCTTATCAGGATCACTAAGACCACCTAGCAAAATAGGTACAAGTAATTGAATTTCTGGATTACTAATCACTTCACCAAAACGTAATAAAGCTTCATTTGCTGCTGTCTGAACATTTTTATGTGAATCTGTAAGCACTTCTGTCAATCTTGGAACAATAGTTGGAAGTGAAATTGAAAGCTGTTTTGGTGCACAAAATGCCATAGATCCTAATAATTCAATTGAACCTTTTTTAGTCCGCCATTGTCTATCTTCCAATCCCGTAAGAAGCGATGGAAGAATAAGTTTAACACAATGACCACTTATTTTACTCATAATAATTCTTGCAGTGTCAGAAGTGGCTTCGCGTACATCGGGACGTGTATCGCCAAAACAGGTTAAAAGTAAAGGAAGAATTTGTATAACATAAGGTTCAAATAGACGACCCAAAGTTTGTGATAATGTTTCAAAGGCAAAAAGAGCTCCTTGTCGAAACTTGTAGTCCTTTTTATTATCAACAGCTTCTTTCAATGTAGTCATAATATTACAATCTTTTAAAGTTGATATGCCAATTCCTTTTACAACACCAGCCAATCCATACGCAGCTCCCCTTCGTGCCGCATACTTTTCAGCGTGAAATAATTGATTCAATAAACCTTCAACAATAACTGGCGCTCTAGTTTTTGTTGTTTTAATCAGAGGTGGAAGACAATCGGCAACTGCAGTTTGCACAGATTCTGCTGGAGTTTTTAAAGTTTCTAAAAGTTTATCAGTTATCATGGGGATTTTACTATCTGTTGGGTCTAAATGTCTAGCCAAAGCACCAAACCAAATAACAACCGATTCACGAATGCGATCATGTGTTTCTGTAGGTTCTGCTGGTTTATCCAAATAATTTTCAAATATTGTTAATAAACTCGTAACGTTTTTACTTCCATGAAAATCAATAGCTGTTAAGCCGGCCTGATATAATCAGCAAAAATAAATATAATATTAACGTCTATATGTGTGTATATATATATATATATATATATAAATATTTAATCTGAAAATATTTTGAGATTATTAATTTTACATACTTCTAACATTTTTTGTCTAACTTCTGGATGTCTATCACCAACAGCTTCATTAATTATAAGGAATTCAAAAAAATCTGTTATTTCAGCTGGACCTAAAATTGGTGCAAGTGCTACAAGAGCAAGGGCAAACCCAACACGAGCCTCCCAAGGGTCTTTTCTGTCTATTGATTCGGGTTTTAGTATACCATATTCATCATATTCGGGTTTAATCGGTGCTGCCTATATTGTAGCAACCGGTATTTAGAAATTATTTGAAAAATTAACTAAAATAAAAATTATTCAAATAATTAAACACCTTTTTTTTATAAATATCATAAATTAATGACAATGTATCTCCAATCGTATCTGGATAATCTTTGGCGGCTTCACCTATTGCTTTGGCAGCAGTGATTCTTACATAATTGACATCATTACTTAAATATGGCAATAATTCAACAGCATAATTTTCTTCTATATCCATTCCATTCTCCTCCCATAATTTAAAAGCAAATTTAGAATTAGATTCATCATTATCATGACATGTGATCCATAACTCGCAAGAAAAATCTATGTCAGTAAGGTCTGTAAAATCCAATGACTGTAAACAGGCATTTCGAATAAACGTCTCTGAAGAAAGTAGGCCTGCGAACAACGCACTAGTTTCTATTCTAGATGCTGTTATGCCAATAAATTCACAGAAATCAATCAGAGTCTTTTTTGCTGTTATTGCCAATTTTGGATAATTTTTAATGATATCCAGAAGAACTTGGATGATTTCTGCTCTGGGTATTATGGTTGAAGTACCAACTGATGCATGAAATGATATTATATCTAATCCAAGCGTAATTTGTTCTAATACCGATTCATTATAATTTTCATCGTTAATATCACATCCAAGCCCACCTTTCATAACAATATATTTGATTAATGGAAAACAGTATGTGAATGAAGAAGGTGGCAAAACAGACCGTTCAGAAATAAAACGAAGACGATAAAGGACACGTGTGACTAGATGTTCCAATGGTTCTTGAAGCCAAATATCAGGAATATTTTTTATGTCCATAGCACGGAGCGTTGCTAATCCAATCGATCTCCGAATACCTTCAATCTGGTCTGAAGTAGCAAGACCAAGTTTTAAGTAAGTGTTTACTGCTTTATCTCCTAACAAATCATTATTGCTTTTTTTTAATACAACAAATAATAATTGCATTATTTTGGTAATATATTTTTCAACAGTTTCAGGACTACCATCAATCATAGCATCAGTTATGTCTAAACCCTTTACGAGTTTTTTACGGATTTGTTCAACATTATTACGAATTTCAGATTCCTTTTTTAATTGTGCATTAACAGCAGCCTGCTCATCTTTAGTAAGTTTAGGTGTTTGTGAACCTTTTTTTTTTGCAATTTCCTCTCGAATTTCTCGTTCCCATTTTTCTGTTTGATAGTCTTTTCTATTTCTATTTTCTACTACATTTTTCTTATTGCGCTTGAGAACTAATAGATATGAAAAAAAAATAAAAATAAAAGCAAAAATCCATAAATTTTCAAAAGTCAATATTCATAGTTTTTCATATAAACATCATATTGAATACATGCCATCAACAAATAAAGTTCCCTCTTCTGTTTTCCAAATATCAATATCTTTTTCCTCAATTTTATCAAATAATGTAGCATCCAAATTATTTTTACATTGTTTAAGGAATAAAGGAATTATTTGTTCTTTTAGAATAAAAAGGATCGTGGAAATGGCAGATAAAGCGGCTTTGTAAAAATTGGTCCGCTAAATGAGCTCACATCATAAGTTCATGTTTGCGAAAAAAATTTTTAAATTATAGTTCAGACATTCAATGAGAATTGATAATTCTTACTTCATCATAAGTGTTAAATATTTCAAGTATAATATTTAAAAGATGATCCGAGTATTTCTCAACTAATTTTCCAGGATCAAGATGAGCTCTTTGAGCTAACGAAATCCAGTTATATTTGTCAGTTTGAGATGCTAAAAATACGTGCATATATATATATATATAATAATAATAATAAAATTAAGTAAATTATAAAAAAAAATTTCAATGCATTTTTTATCAACTAACCAATCATAGGATGATGAGCTAGAATAATAAGCTCAATCAACAATTCCTCTATTAATGTTTTGTCTGTATTATTAGAAAATGTTGTAATAGCGGTAAGTATTGTTGAGAATTTATATGCATTAATAACGTGATCTGTGTGAGAATTGATGGAGTATAAAACAGCCATTGAATCTTTTGTGCCATTTTCCAACTATGGATTGAAATTTAGTTAAGTATTAAAACTAGTATATGCATATAGTAGTAAATCCAGGTCAGCCTAATAATAAATGTAACTAAATATCATACGTTAATTAACCATTGTGTAAGTCCTTCACGTATTATCTTCCCAACAACTTGAGGATTATATTGGTTACATATTCTAAGGGTGTTTTGTGCCTCGCGCCTTATCTGATAAATTTGACACGCGGTTATCAAATATACAAATGAATTTGCAATCAATATTCTACAGTTAAAGAAAATATCATAAAATGATTTAGATGACTTGTATCCGTGGAATTTTGTAAAGTTTTAAATTTGAATTGCTTATCTTACCTAACATCAGCTTTTTGCAATAATAATTCACTTTTATTGATTACAACACTTTCAATAGAACGAAGAAACCACTGATATTCATCAAAGGTGGTTAATTTAGTGTAAACTTTATCCCATAACCAAAAAGAGGGCTTAGGATTAGCAATAAAAATGTTTTGAATCTGTTTCTTTGAATGAACTAAATTAGCTATATTTTTGCATAAACTATGTTAGTTAAAAACTAACGAAACCAAATTTTACAAGTAATTAAAGAAATAGAATAGAACTCATCACCTATTTCATCATCATTCCATTTGACCGTTCTACCTTCAATAATAGCAATTGAAATGTATCCTTCAATTGGCCCACCAACATAATTCAATGGATTTGACTGAATCTTTTCCATTGATGATAACAAAGGTACAAGTGATTGTTTAACAAGGATACGAAAAGATGCAGATGGAATATCATTTTCTTGCCAAACAAGACGACCTAATGCAAGAGCCCAAGATTTTCTCAAGCCAACTTTAGAACTTTTCAATCCTTCGACAATAGCATTTGTGAACATATTGATAGTATTTTCATCATTTTCATGTTTAAATAGTGACATTGCATGCAAACTTAATGTATCAATGACTTTGGCCAAAGAATTTTCATTACTTTCCTTGGAGACTATAGGCAAAAGTCCTTTAATAAGATTTTTTACAACAACGGGAGATTGATAAATATGATTTAATGCTTGAAACAGGATCATGCGATGTTCTGGGTTTGTAATCTTTGCTATCCCATCAAAAAAATAAGATTAACATAATTTAATATTTAATTGATATTTTAATTAAATATATGGATGGATAAATGAATAAATGAATAAATAAATAAATCAGTTAATAGTACCAACCTCCACTTAATGCCTGAATAATTTCCATAACAATTTCTATACAAATATCTTCATTTTTACTTTTTTGCACTAACAAATTAAGCAACTCTGCTGCATCAGTCTGTACAGTTTTATTTGTCGAACGAATATGATTAAGGAGTGGTTGAATGAAATGATTTTTAAAAATCCTTGAGGTATCGAATGATAAAGATTTTAAGAGATAAATTAATGCTAAATTTACAAAAAATAAAAAAAAATAAGTAATGATGTTATATAATTCTTTAATAAATAAGAATTATTGAGGTTACTAACTATTAATCACAATTTCAGGTGCCCTTAAAAGCAACTTTTCTATAACTGGGACAAATTTTTCATTAAAATCTCCCTCTGTGATAACATTTTTTATAAAATCATGTAAAGCGTCCTATTACAATAAGGAATTGAATCATTTTAGGATATTATGAGATTATTTCAAAAGAGATATTTTAAAATAATAAATTACCGCTGATGTTTTAGGAACAGATATTTTTGATGAAATAATAGTCGATAAATAATATTGCATTATTTCTTCCTAACAAATGTAAAAAAAAAGTTTCCTATAATTACAATGTAAAAATAATATACGTAATGAATAATATAATATAATATTTTAAATAAAACAAACATTTAAATTCTTTCCAAGAATCTCTTTGTTTTTATTTTGTAGCCGTAAAGCGCATCCAATAACATTTCCAAGCAGTACCGCATTTCTAAATGGCGGATCGCATGTCTTTACACTGGACGTTAAATAGGATATATATGATGGAATATATGAAGAATTCTATATAAAATTCCATTTGAATCATGTGTGTATACATATAAGAAAATATTGATATTTAACATTAATCATATGACTTATTTATCAAACAAATACCTTTCGAATACATCGTCTTACATCCCTTAATGCACTCATCCTAATTCCTTTTCTTTTTTCCCCCTCACTAGTCAGTGTATGAAGTAAAAGTCCTTGTGCATTTACAAGATCCTTCCAATATGACGAAGTGTCAGGAATAAAATTTGTTGATAAAGAAGAAAGTGTGATCATTAAATTGATCCATGTGAGAAGAACAAATCTACTAGACGAAGCTGTAGTATATGTAGTGCTTAAAATCATGATAAAAATATAATTATTATTATTTAATGATAAAGCGTGGCTTAGAGATTAAGTTTTTGAATCTCTTACCCATCTGAACTTTTTTGATTTAATTTATCGGCCTCTTTAACCACCATTGGAACAAAAGTTTTTAAAAAGATATCTGAATTCCAAGCGTTAAGCTCTTTGAGAATATTTAAAATTGAAAGGCGTGATTCTCTATCAGTATATCTTGGATATGTCAAAAGGATAAGTTGTAAAAGAACTTCAATGACTTTATCTGAAAGATCTGTTAAATGAATTAAATAAGAAAAGTAAATTAAAAATGAAATAGAGGAAAAATTTTACAATGCAAGGAAAAACAATAAGGCGTCATTCAGGTGAATATTTTGACTTTTTACCATTACCTCTAACTTTTATACGTGGTAACAATAAATGATTTAAAAACTCGAGACGATAGGTTACATTTGAACTTGTAATGCTATATAATGCCTTAGTTCTAAGAAACTCAGCCCAAGAAAGATCTGCAGAATTGATTTCGACATTAATTGATTCTTCCATATTTTATTTTTAAAAAAAAAATCAATTCGATGAAAAAGAAGATCAACATTGGTGGTAAGCACGCGCGATTGGGCAATTGATAATTGTTGATAAAATTTGACCTGAGTCAAATTTTTTTAATTTAAAAATTTTTTTTTCTGATTTTCGACAATACTCTTATTCTTTCTTTAAAAATCAGGAGGAGCTTGAAATTAAATCGTTTCTATCCTTCAAAACTATAATCATATTAATAAAAAGCAATAAAGATTATGAGTGGACTCACTAATTCACTCAACACCGAACTCTTACAACTTTCAAATGAAGCACGACGTAAGCATCCTGAAATTAAAGAGGTATTTGTTTATTATTGTTCCATTTAACCGTGAGAAGCGCAATTCTAATCAAAGATTTATTATTTATTATAAGTCTGCAGAGAGATCTTTGATTATTTTACGATCACTTAAAGAACAACCTGGCATGGATATTTCACAAGGTAAAAAGAATGTAATATAAAAAAATTTTGTTAAATTTGAGATTTTTGACTGACAAATTCTTTCAATAAATCAATTATAGAATTGGCAAAAAATACTGATTTCCTTAGACCTTTTCTTCTGGCTTGCGAAACAAAGCATGTAAAGTTAATCACTATTTCTATAGGATGTATACACAAATTAATCTCACATCATGCAGTACCAGAGGTGTGTTAATTATATCTAAATCATTCTTTTTGAAATCGAATTATTCATACTTGATTGTGTGAATTTAGTTTTACATGATATGTCATGATTTAGAATATTGTATATTTATTAGTCTTCTGTTAAAACAATTCTCAAAACACTTAATGACATAATGTCACAAGGTGTCGTTGAAATACAACTTAAAATTCTACAAACTGTTTCACCATTGTTGAGTAATTATCAAACATTACATGGAGATCTATTGGCCGAGGTAAATTTAATATATATGTGTGTATGTAACAGATATTGTTATTTATTTTTTTCACATAGCAAATATACTTTTTAAAAATAAGGCATTGTTACTTTGCTTTCGTCTCCAAGATTCAAAAATACTCGTAGTTAACAATACAGCAGCAGCTACTTTACGTCAATTAGTAATAAATATTTTTGACAAAGTTCAAGAAGAAGATAGAATCAATGAAAGAGATGGTAGATCAGTATAAGAGTTATATTTAAAAATAATTATTATTCATATATATATATATATGACTTGCATATTAAATTAATATTTCTAATGAATATATATTGTAATAATCATCAAGGGTCAATTCAACCTACATCCACAACAGTGTCAATTAATGGAGAAAGTACTATAACACTTCTTCCATGTGCGAAGGATGCATACTATCTCTTTCAAGACTTGTGTTTGCTAACTAATGGTGAAACACCCATATACCTTAAATTATATAGTTTGTCGAGGACTTTCGGTTTGGAGTTAATTGAATCAATTTTGACAAATCATTCGATGCTATTTAAATTGGTTTGTATCTCATTTGTTGGAAATATATTTTATTAAAAGTTTTTACATTTCTATTAAAAAAAAATAATTTATAAACATTACTTGCTTATAAATATTTATGTAGCACCCTGAATTAATTTACTCGTTGAGAGAACGTATTTGTCCACTTATCATAAAAAAATTTCTCTGAAAAGTGTGACTTTCCTCAAACGATGCGATTAATGCGAGTTGTATATATTTTAATCAGGCAATTCAATGATGCTTTGGTAAATAATAATATTATTATTAATAAAAAATTTTTATTTTAATATAATAATTTTTAATTTAGATTATATATTTTATAGGTTATGGAATGTGAAATATTTTTATCTATTTTTATAAAAATTCTTGAACCTGATAATCCATTGTGGCAACGTGTTATTTCAATGGAAATCTTTCGTGGCATATGTGCTGATGGTGAATTGTTACGCTCCATATATTGTAATTATGATAAGAATAGTGATTCAACAAATGTGTTCCATGATATGATTAATTCTTTTGGGAAATTGGCTGCTGAAAAGCCCCAAACTTTTAGTACTGGAATACATTCATTTATAGGTAATTTGCATCAAAATAGAGAAAACATAGATGTTACTGGAATGGCGAGCGCTGTAATAGGAAATCCTGCTCATGTAGAATATCTTTCTTTGACGATTGCAAATTCAACAATGAAGATACAATGGTATGATAAATTAATATAAAAGTTTTTTTTATTTTTATTTTTTTAAATTTGCATGTTAATGTATTTTTTTTAAAAAATTCCCTTTTTAGTATTGATCAATTGGACAAAGTAGATTCACCCCAGATTCCTGACACATATTTAAATTTTCTTGCTCTTGTATGTCTCAATTCTGTAGCAGATAGCCTTCATAATTTTGTTTTTAAAGTTTTTTCAGAAGTTCTCCAAAAACAACAATTGGAAAAAAACTCACCATCTATTTCAGGAGATTCTATTCATTCTCAAGATTCCCCTATAACACCCGTTAATCAGCAGTCCACAACCTTTGGTGTAACCACTTTGAAGCAGATGGAATTGCATTCATTATATAATGAAGTTCTCCTGGTCAAGGAAATTGCAAATACAGCATGGCCTGGTTTATTAGCTGCACAGTCCTTCTTCCTCACATTAAATATTGATGATGAATTATTTCAAGGTGTTTTACGTGCTTATCAGAATTTTACAATTGTGTGCGGTATTCTGCAACTTTCAACTCCTCGTGATGCTTTTTTAACCAGTTTGTGTAAGGGTGCTGTACCGCCTAGTGTAGTCACAGCATTTTTGGCAGAAAGCAAAGCAGTTCATAGTGCTGGAGCTGCAACCAATAATGAAAATTCATTTGGCGTTTCATTATCAGATAGAAATTTATCATGTTTAAAAATACTTTTGAACATTGCGCAATACCTTGGTGGGATTTTAGGTGATTCGTGGTATTTAGTGTTAGAAGTTCTGCATTTGGCAGATTTGATATTATTTCCAAAACATGGAAGGGGCGGATCCAGAGGTGCACGAAGACTAGGTACTCAGAATACAGCATCATTATCTGCAACTTCATTGGCTAATTCTTTGTCTCCTAAAAGTCCTTCAGCATCTATTCATCAAACATCATCGACAGCTCAAAATATAAAGCGAAATTCTGCCGTTATAACGTCTGCTCAAGATGCATCATCTACTAATTATCCTAATCAGCTTTCAGCAATTGAAAATGATTTGAATATTTTATTGATACAAATTAAAAAGTTATTTGATAATTGTAAATTTCTTGACGATGATGCATTAAAAGCATTCACTAGATCTTTATGCAAGCTCAGCTTTGATACGATCGGAATACCATTTGACAGTAAAATATCTGTACCTAAACAAGACAAGTCATCACCAGAAAGTAAGACACCCAAATCTACTACACTTGGCATCTTAAAAGGGAATGTAGGGATTAACTAAATTTGATAATATACTTTTTCATTTATATATTTTATTGACAAAAATTTCCTTTTCAAAAAAACTAATTCTTTTATTAATATATACAGAGAACAGATGAACGATCTTTTGCAATTGATAAACTACGTTCGGTAGCACTATTAAACATAGATCGAATGATTGTTCAGGATCCTTCTCTTATATGGGATTTAATTATTTCACATCTGATTGTTATTGCAAATTATATTTCAACCCCGCAGACTCCACAGCCAATCCGTTTGCAAGCTTGTGAAACTTTAGCTGACATTGTTATCTCATCGATAAATTATGCAGAATCTGTACAAATGGAAAATGATGAACGAATTCAAATGCAATTACTTCTTGCGATCAATCAATTAGTTAATAACCCAGAAAGAAATTCTCAAACAAATAATAAAGGATTCTACATTGAAGTTCAAAAAATGGGATTGGAAACCTTGGATAAATTATTACAAAATTCTGGGCATTCATTTACTCATGGGTGGAGCATAATTTTTGATATGATTAAAAGTGTGTGCACACCATTAGAAAGTGGCGAGGATGAAGGTTACACTGCCAGCTCTGACAGTATTACTATTGCAGGTACCTCAACCATTGGTATTTCTAGTTCCAAATTATCTGGTTTAGTTCGTGTGGCATTTCCTTGTTTACAGCTAATTTGCTCCGACTTTTTATCATTGCTTTCACCCGAGTGTTTGAAGCAATGCATAAATACATTGGGGGCATTTGGTTTACAAATGGATGATTTAAATATCAGTTTAACTGCTATAACATTATTATGGAATGTTTCTGATTTTATACAGACCAAAAGATCAGAAATGGTAAAGGCTCAAGGAGACCAACATGATTGTTTTTGGAAAATTGGAAATGAAGATATCGAACAGATAATAGAAAATGCCATTCATGGGGAATTAAGTAACAATACCATGAATGCTCTCTGGATGTTGTTATTGTTACAACTTGCAAAGATTTGTTCAGATGTTCGATTTGAAGTAAGAAATGGAGCAAATCAAACTTTATTTCGTACTATTGATATGAATGGATCTGTATTGGGGTCTCAGATGTGGCATGCATGTATCTGGAAAGTTTTGTTTCCTTTATTGGATTCAGTTAAAAATGCATCTGAGAAAGCTGTTAAGGTCATGAATCAGCAAAATAATGGTGCTTCGAATGATAAACCTTCTTCACAAAAAGAATTTACTGGTTTCATGATACATCATTCTCGTAATACTGCAGATAAACAATGGGATGAGACAAAGGTTCTAGTATTAAGTGGTGTATCCGGTATATTTAAAAACTTTTTACATATTCTGGTAAATTTAGATGATTTTAATCAAGCTTGGAGTTTTTTCCTTTCACATTTACAAGATTCTTGTCTACATTCTAGTCATGAAGTAGCAATTTCAGCTATTAAATCATTAAACACTATGATTCAATTTGCAAGTGATGATGTTCATAATGATGAATTGAAGGAAAAAATTTTACCAATGTGGCAAACTGCGTGGGAGGTTTGGGAAAGAATAGGTCTGGTTATTATTACAAAATCAAACGTTGACAATGACAACGATAATAAGAAGGAAATAGAAATTTCAGAAGGTGTTGTATCGTCATCAAAGTTAATCTCTTCACAATTCAATCAAGATACTCTTACGGCATTTATTTGGACTTTTACTGATCTATACAATGTGATTCAGGTTGATTTTGAGATTAGTAAAATAAAAAGATTATTAAAAGTCATCCATGGGATTTTGACTTATCCCCATAGTCCTTCTTATAAATCAGATTGTGATTATCTAACTGCTTTGCAAGAAGCAGTTTTGGAAGTAATCAATATATTAAATTTAAATGTGCCAGGTGCTCCTGCGGCAGTCTTAAGCAGTTTAGCGGATTATATAACATTAGCATTTTTGAAAATTTATAATGAAGAAAATAATAAAAGTATTAAAGAAGGAATTGGATATTTTAAACAAAAGAACCACTCACAAAGCACTGCCACTATTGTTACTGCTAGTGATTCTACTATTGCCACCAATAATAACACTACATTTTTTAAAGAAGAAGGAATGCCTTCCAAAAAATCTTATGACACAATAACTTATATTGTATTTTCAAAAACTGTGATGCATACTGTTAAGGATCTATTTAAAAAATTTACAGATGATAAAGGGATATATTCAGAAGAAGTATTTGCAAAAATTATTTGGGTATGAATTAACTATTTTACTTGGAATTTTACAATAATAATAACAACTATGTATATATTTAACAATAAAATAAAACTATATAAAAATTTAGGCGTATGGTGTTCCTATGAAATTAAAATATAAGTGTCCACCTTCAGGTAAAAATGTCGAACTTTGGAAAATTGCCACAGATTCATTTTTAGAAGTAGTAAAAAATGGATTAGTTGTGTTAAAAAACCTTGGAGATGGTAAATTAATAGTTTTTTGATTTTATGAAAAAAATTTATTATTGTAATTAATTATATAAATATTCTTTGCAGAAATCAAAAAAGAATGTTTTGTTAATATATGGAAACAATTAGTAGATGTTCTTCATGATGCATTATTAACAAATAGGTGAATATATATATATAATGTATTTATTTATTTTAAAAAAGAATTATTAAATATATATTAAATATATATATTGTATAGCAAAATATCAGATTCGCAGAACCTCGAACAACAAGATATAGATGAAGCATTTGATATGAAGTTTCTATTTAGATTACAATCTGAAGTAATAGTTCATATTGGTCATCCATATGTACCACAAGAACTAATCAAAAGTATGGTGGAAACTTTAAAAGAAGGCTCAAAACTTTATGATACTTTTATAGATGAGAGAGAAAATAATTATAATACGTTATCTTCAACAAATGATTTATCATCATCATTTCAGAGTAAAAAATTAGCAGACAAAGTTGAAGGCACAACTGCCAAAGTTATTCCTGTAATAAGAGAAAGATTTGCATATGCTTGTTTACAATGTTTATTTGATTTATGTTCTGAACAAGGTGAACAAGGTGAAGAAGGTAAAAAATTTTGCACATAAGATTTTTTTCATTTGACAAATAATAAAAAACCATGTCACATATTTTCAACACACAAATAATATATAGATGAAAGTGATGCGAGTCATCGTATTGCACAAGTTGCAGCACCAATACTTTTAGAACGATGTGCCTCTGCAATAAAAAAGTATACAGCTGATCAACCGCTACATGGAAAATATCCATTTTCAAGGTTAATTAATATTTGGAATATTTCCTTTTTATATATAAAAGTATTTTATTTGTTTACTTTTACATGATGATTTACAAGCCTTAATCTTGCTTCCAGGGTACAAAACGATGAAATCTTGTTAATCTTACAACAACTGATTAAATTACAATTTCGTACAAATGTATTAAACTTTGAAGATGGAAATTCTAAAAAAAGTAAATTTTTTTTAAAAAAAACAAGATTAATTATATATATTTAATATACTGATAACAATGAATTATTATTCTTGTTAATTTAACAGGTTTATTGAAAAAAGAAATTTTATCAGGATCGAATGCACATTTATTTTATTTATATCCAGTTATTTGCGAGGCTATTTCCATTCCTGAAAAAAACATAACTGTTTTGTTAAAGGAATGTTTAAAGAAGATTGGTAATGAATTAGAAATATATTAAATATTTCTAATTCTTCACATTAATTATTATGATAATAATACATTATAAAACTTGAAAAAAATTTTTTATTATTTATTTTATTGCCATCATTAGAATAATTTGTTAGAAAAGATAGAAATAAATTAATAAATTTTGTGATTTCCAAACTTTAATAATAATCAATAGTTATTTTTTAATAAAGATAATTTAATAATAATCAATAATTGGGAATCTTTCATAAAATAATTCTGGATCTTTAATAAAATATCCAATTCATTTTTTATTAAAGAATATTTATTTATATTGTAAAAGGCTTGGGTCCTTTCCAATTTTCCATTAGCATTTCTAAAGAATTCTCATCAGAAACAGCGACTTCGTTTTGAGAGGCTATACAGCAAAACCTGGCAAATTTTAGAATATCATTTCTAATCCAGGAAATAAAATTTCTTAAAATAGAGTATGTTCCTATCCTAAACTAAAAAAGTTAGGTGAAGAGGTCCATTTTTTACAATTCGCACCAAAAGTCTATTTTTTTTTACAATTCAAATGATAAGAAACGATGAATTAATTAAAAATTTAAATACTAGATTCACAACATTTGATTCAGAAGTCGCTGCACTAAAAAGTTTAGTCAAGACTTTAATATCAGAATTAAAGGATGCCAAAAACAATAATGGTGATAGAAAAGTTGGAATTGGGAATGGTGAGACCAAGAAAAAATAAAATTATTAATAGATTATTAATTATTTCATAATGTATAATATATATAGATATTTTTGTAAAATATGTATATTAATTTCTATATTTTCAAAATCAAAAACATAAATTCCAAACTTATTAGTCTAACACTACTAGATTTATGCCATTTTTTACCATTTAAACATTGTTCTCATTCACTTGCCCCCAATGATTCTTCTTCATCTTCCTCATCAGTACTAAATATCACATTGATCCATAGAATTTTGAGAAGGAGAAATGCTTAATGTTAGTCTTAATTCGTTTTGGTTCGTTTGATCTGAATAAGATAAACCTTATTCGAATACTAACGTGCACATGACCATCATTGCCACAACAGCCAGCACAACTAGACATTGACTATGTGCTTGTAATAACGGATTACACGACAACAGGATTATAAATAGAAATAATAGCAGTAGATATAAAGAGAAAAATAAAAAAATAAAAAAAGAGTTAGCAAATGCTAAACAAGTTTAGGAACCGACACTTTCTTCATGCCAAGGTTATTTTGCAATCATTTAATCATATTTAATCATCCCTTGGGCATTTAATCCCTCGGTCATTTAATCATCACTCAGTCACTTAAGCCAGCTCATGGATGTAACCTGTACATTCTAACCCCTCAATGATTTAATATTATTTAAGCAAAACAATTCTTGGAATAAATAAATTAAGGCTCATGAAGAAGTATTAATTAAATAATTTCGCCAACTTTAAAAAACGCGTTCAAGAGATACGAAAGTCCATGCTCTCTTGCAGGGGCGCTTAAAGCTAGGACTTCAAACAATACAAAAGGATTGCCCAAAGGAAGATAGAAAAATAAAACCAGTGCCAGCAAGAAAAATAAAAAAAATAAAAATAAAACCAGTACCAAGAAGAAAAATAAAAGAAAAACTACAGTCCCCGGCAAAAGTAATGGCGCGAATATTCGAATTACTTATTCAGGCATAATACCATAAAACATTCATTTATAATGTTTATTTGTCATTGAGTCGCGTATATAGATAGTAACCATAAAAGTAAATAAAAAAAATAATGATCGTCATCAGTGTTTTTTGTTTACTTTGCCTTGTAAAATGTCATCAAACCCTATTAAAGCCAACCATAATGCCGTTAACTTTCTCTGGAAGCAAAATATTCGTACTCCGAAAGAAATTTCGAATAAAACTGGGATCCCATTACGTACATGTCAACGATACGTCACCATATTAAAAAAAAAAGGAAAAATTCCGGAAATTCATCGGTCAGGTCATCCGCAAAAATTATCATCGGAAAAACGGTGCCAACTCGGAATGATCGTCAAGAGTAACCACTATAGGACCGCCACTGAAATGAAAGCTATTTTAGAAGAAAAATACCAAGATCTCGAAGTTAGTGAGAGAACTTTCACCGTGAGCTTTCCAACCTTGGTTATGTTGCTACTCTTCCCAGAAAAGTTCCTCTTCTAACAGAGCAAGCAAAGATTAACCACTTGTCATCTTATAATAAAGTTTACTGATTCTTGTTAAATGGTGACATTGCAAGGTAGCTTTTTAATTACAGCTTAATTTTTGGGCTACTCTTGTCAGCTAATTACAAATAATAATTCGGTGCTTGCTGATTAATTAGTTTACGAATTTACTTTGGTTCTTTGCTTGTTTACTGCCTCCTTCTTGTACCTAGAAGGCTTCGACAAATCTATGACTGTATTGAATAATTGTAATAAATAAAATGGCTCTTTTACAAAGCTCAATGGCTTCTATAAAGTTCCTTTTATTCATTTGTAACTGATTTATTTCAGTAATCAAAATAACAATCTTTTTTATACATCATGGAAATGACTAACAAAAACAAATAACATTACACGAATACATGATTTAAATGAATTCACTATTATGATCGTATAATGTTCAAAGATTTGCCCATCTAATAATTGTTTCTCTGGACAAATTTGATAGGAATCAGTGTAAAAACTTTATTCTGAACTGCCAAAAATTCAATCAGGTGTTCGCTATAGTGTACCGATTGGAAATATATATATAGAATTGATTTATTACCAAACAAATTTTTAAACCCGAAAATGTAACAGAGTTTTACGAAATACATAATATTATATAAAATTACATGACTCAATTACACTATATATACATATATTTGTTCGGAGTATCAAAATTAGCATTGGATGCGAAGCATCCTAGTATCCTATTGTGTAGTATTCATGATCAATGATGCAATTTTAATAAAATAGACTATTTCGTGTCCCCCACTTGTGGACCAAAAAATCACATAATAATAATAAGCTAACCGTGATCCGTCAACAACCCGTTTTATTATTATGCAAAATTTCTTAATATTAATATTAATGTTACAAATTCCGTACCTTATTACAGTCCCCGGCGAAAGTAATGGCGCGAATATTCGAATTATTTATTCAGGCATAATACCATAAAACATTCATTTATAATGTTTATTTGTCATTGAGTCGCGTATATTAGATAGTAACCATAAAAGTAAATAAAAAAAATAATGATCGTCATCAGTGTTTTTTGTTTACTTTGCCTTGTAAAATGTCATCAAACCCTATTAAAGCCAACCATAATGCCGTTAACTTTCTCTGGAAGCAAAATATTCGTACTCCGAAAGAAATTTCGAATAAAACTGGGATCCCATTACGTACATGTCAACGATACGTCACCATATTAAAAAAAAATGGAAAAATTCCGGAAATTCATCGGTCAGGTCGTCCGCGAAAATTATCATCGGAAAAACGGCGCCAACTCGGAATGATCGTCAAGAGTAACCACTATAGGACCGCCACTGAAATGAAAGCTATTTTAGAAGAAAAATACCAAGATCTCGAAGTTAGTGAGAGAACTGTTCGCCGTGAGCTTTCCAACCTCGGTTATGTTGCTACTCTTCCCAGAAAAGTTCCTCTTCTAGCAGAGCAAGCAAAGATCAACCGCTTGTCATGGGCACAAGATCATGTGCATTACAACTGGAAGAAAGTTGATTTTTCAGACGAAACAACTATCCAGTTGTTTCGCAATACGATGTTAGCATGGTCTCGTGAAAAGAAACCTGTCCAGCCTATGGTAAAACATCCCCTTAAGGTTCATGTTTGGGGTGCGATCAATTTTAAAGGGAAGGTCGGTATTCATATCTTTACTGAAAACCTTGACTGCCACCTATATCGTAAAATTTTAAATGAACAACTTTACGATAATGCTGATGCATTGGTGGGTGGCCAATGGGTCTTTCAACAAGATAACGACCCTAAGCATACATCTAGGGACGTTATGAATGATCTGAATACCCGACTTCCAAGACGTGTTCTTGCCTGGCCTTCATATAGCCCAGATCTCAATCCTATTGAGAATATATGGGCTATTTTGAAGCATAATGTTGAGAAACACATTAAAAAAATGATAGCAGAAAAAAAAAAGGTTTCGAAAAATAAATTTATCAATATTATTAGGGAGGAATGGGAGGGAATCGAAAAAAACGTCATAGTTAATAGCATCGGTAGCATGCAAAATCGGGTTCAAGCGTGCATCGATGCCGAAGGAGCTCATACAAAGTACTAACACCATAATAAATGTTATAGCCATACTATTTGGCTTTAAGAAAAAAAAAATTTTTTTAAAATTTTTAATAAAGTATATACATTTTTTATTCATAAAAAATTACGCGCCAATACTTTCGCCGGGGACTGTATATACGGAATCAAAAAGTACCTTTACAGTATTAGTATTAGTATTACTATGAATGAAAGAATTAAGATTTATAGTTCGCTAATCATTTAAAACTATTATTATTATTGAAAAAACTACGTATAGTCGAACCTCGTTATAACGGTCCTTGTTATAATGGATT